GGAGGGGGGGGTCATAATAATCTGGCGTGTGTGTGTGTGTGTGTGTGTGTGTGTGTGTGTATCTCCCACGTTTAAAGGCTGCTAAATTGCGTTGTTTATCCATATCTTCAGAAAAAGATCACTTCTACTGTCGTAGTAAAAAACCTGCTTCCCTATTTATAATGATCTGGCCCTCTAGCAACTTCAGCGTGAAATTATAGCTAATTTGCCTACAAACGTCAGGTGGTCATAATAATCTGGCCACTCAGTGTATATAGAAAAGGCATTTTCTTTCTACTATACCACAATAGTATTTCATCAGAAGAATGAGGCTAAAATAGGAGACCCTTGCTATTGCAGTCTTAAGCATAGGAGATTATTACTCTGCACACTGCAATAAGGTTACTATGTAATTACTTAATGGAAGGCAGTCACTTAAGAGAATTACTTCAGAATGAAAAATATTCAGATTGTTTTACTAGTTCTATTAGATTATTACCTTATATATAACTAATTCATCATTCAGACACCATGAAAATCTGAAGCAAACATCTAATCTATCATAAATTAATGGGTTCCAAAATACCTCACATTCTAGGAAATGTTTACTTAGTCTCAAAGTTGTCAATTAATTCATATGTAGTCTTTAAATTTAGGGATCTTCATTTTTATTTCTAACTTCATCTCAGATCAGATTTAAATCTAAGACTTTACTGACACTCATTTTTATTGGCAAGTGCATCCCAATTCTAAATATAAGCATTACTCCTAACAGTTCTTAAATGGAATTATTAATGAATTCTTTCAACAAATGTTGGTCTAGGGTACTGTAGGGAGAGTTTTAATGTGCATGGCCTCTGCCCTATTCGAAGTCTAGAAGAGTACAGTCTACTGGCTGGAAATGTGGAAAGACAATTAGTGGCTTCGGAGAATCCAGGCTAATGCTCAGCTCAACCACTTGCTAAACATTAGGCAAACTCATATATCTCTCTATGCCCTAATTTCTTCCTTTACAAAATGAGTTTAATATCAACTATTTTGGCAAAGTTATTGCAAGAGCTAAATGTAAAAATACAAAAAGTACCTAGTACAGTAGTAGGAACACTACCAAATATTCAAAATTTTCACAAATTCAGGGTTTGCCACATAGAATCTATTAAATACTCATTGACAAGAGTCACTTAAATACCACTTAAGGATACCACTGCCAAAGGGAGTGGATCAAACATAAACAATACTCATTGACAAGAAACCTTAAATACCACTGCCAAAGGGAGTGGATCAAACATAAAATATATTATGATACTATTTCTAATCCAATTATTAAGCTAATAAATATGGATAATTACCACCTTTTTTTTCATTTTCTACTTCATTTATACCTTAAAACAGGTATTTCAAAGCATATAAGCATATTATTTAGTAACATAAAAGTTAAAGGTTAATTTTTAAAGCTCCATGCTAACCCAAACTGCATACTATTGTTACCTAAAGCAACATTTGGTAAAAAATTTAAGTAACAAAATAAATTAATTAATAAAATGGTTGGTTACAGAAGTTCAGTTACTCACTCCAAAACATAAGCACGTTAATTTATCAATTATAACAACTGCACACAAATCCAAACAAATAATCGTGTATGTATAAAAAAAAAAAAAGACAACTTCTTTTAGTCTCTTGGAATTATTTTTAACACAACAATCTTTTAAAGTGCTGCTACAAGAAGACATTTTGAGTTGAGATGCCAAAATTTACCTGTTTGAGTCCTTCATCAGTTAGTTTGTCCTGGTTGCCCACATGAACTTTCTGAAGTAAAGGGCAGTGAGAGGCAACCGCAATAATGGAGGTGTCAGAAAGCTGTTTACACCTGTAGGCTGTATACCTAAGAAGTCCAGGACACTTAAATGCTAGAACACAGACGCCAGTATCAGACATACTGCGACAATCAGAAATGTTGATTTCAATTATATTTTGACTCCTTGATGCAATTTTTTCCAATAATTCATCAGTGACCTGTGAGAGAAAAAAAAGCAATAAATTTAAACTTCTGCTAAATGTAGAAACTTATTTTCTATTGTTTTATTAAATTTCCCCCAATAAACAATATAACTAGATTACTGCATGAAAACCACAACTGAAAGAAAATTTTTCTACTTAATATTAAAGGATAACAAGAACTATGATATAATAAAAAACATATTTGGCTTTTGTCTCTGGGTCCTTACAGAGCTCCTAAAACCTTGGAATTTCTTGAGTGATAGTGTTCATGTTGGAGCTGAATTATTCCAACTCACAAGATGTATAATATGCACTTCTTTCCAAATCAATGGCATCACTACGTGCAGTGACCTCACATTGGTAGCTTGAAATTAACTACAGTAGGAGTATTCATACCACAGAAAATGGCAAATATTACAAATAAGGGCTTTTTATTTGTTCATTCATTTTCAAAAGCCAGTTGTTACATATTTAGCAGCACACCACTACTAACAACATCATAGAAGGATTTAGAGCAATTTTAGTACTCTAAAAAAATCCTATTCTTATTGGATATTTTTATATATTTCCAATGTCAAGAATTGGGAAACAAGTTTAAAGGAAGAATTGCAAATGGTTTGCAATAAGTACTATTAACTCGTTTTTTTCTTAATGTATGCTAGCACATAAACATTTTGGGCAGCCAGGCAATGAGGAGGATTAGAAAATTCTTCATAAGTAAAGTAAAATTAAAACAAATAAGTTATCATAATTCATTTTGCTTCTATTACGTCATCTATAATAACAGTATTAGGTTAGTATTATTAATATTGTAATAATAATATATTAATAGGGATAATAATAGTGCAACTCATAAGGTTATTGAGAAGATAAAATGAGTTAATTTGTGAAAGCCAGTAGAACAGTATATGGCACATCGGCAGTACTATATAAATGTTTGCCATCATTTTCTACTATTAAACTGATATTCATGATATGACCCTTCCAAAAAGAGGAAAGTTTGTTTTAAAAGGGTAATGAAAAATGAAAATGAACAGGAATAAAACAAAGAGGATTAAGAAGCAACCCAAAATTACCAATCCAAACTAGAAATTATCTTCTTGACCATAAGAACCTAGTTTTAACTTAAATTCACACACAAAAATACTAAAGCACAGAATTACAGATTATAGTCATTTGAATTATCTTGAGAAATTACAACATGAAAGAAGTAATTTCTGAAGAGGAATAAAGTTTTTTTAATAAATCAAATTGAGTGTTTCTGAGAATTAGTTTACATATACCTGCTGACGACTACTAAGATCCAGCTGCTTCCAAAACTGGAAATCTAAACAAAGGTCACGCCAGTACTTGCAAACCAACGAGGCAGAAAGGCAACGTTCATCCAGGGATAAATTGGAAAATATCTGTGAATATAAAAGAAGCCACACATGTGCTTAAACATTTTAAAGGCTTTAAAAAAAATTAACTTTAAAGCACAAAAACATGTTGAATACAAGTAGCCATTATTAGAAGAGTCATTGTTAGAGGCTGTCCTAAAGAGAAAAACATGGTATGGGAGTAAAAAACATGGACCAACATTACCTTTCATGTAAGAAAAGGAACAAAGGAGAACAGGGGGATACGTGCGTGCCTGTGTGTATGCATGTGTGCATGTGTGTGTGTGTGTGTGTGTGTGTTTGCCAATATTTAAAAAAATTAAAAGGATAGGTCAAAAATTAATTTTAAAAATACTCATCTTTAAGGGAAGGGAGAAAAGGCTAGAAAAGAGAAAGAGATGAAAGGGAGGCTACTCTGAAGATACCCTGTTTTACAGTTTTGACCTTAGAACCAGGTGAACTTTTTATATGATTTTTTTAATGTCATAAAAAGGAAATTTTTACCTTGACGATATTTTTTTCCAGAATTTCATAAACCCAATTAATCCCAAGAAAACTATCACTTATACCAAATATAGAACATCCTACAAAATATGTGATGACTCCTCAAAAAATCAAGATCACAAAAAAACAAAGGAAGGCTGAAAAAGTATCAAAGACAAGAGGAGAATAAAGAGGAATGACAACTAATGCCATCGTGAACTGGAAAAAGGCCATTTACTTTAAAGCACAAAAACATGATGTGAGACCAATGCTGATCTCACACTTCGGCAAAGGTATCGGAGTAATGTAAGATAATTAATTTAGGGGAAACTGAAAGTGCGTGAGGAATATAAGAGGAGTCTGTACTATCTGTGTAACTTTTCTGCCTAAAATTATTCCAAAATTAAATGCTTATTTTTAAAAGAGTTTTAAAAGTAAAAATTATTTTTCAATGGGCAGGTTTAGGACCAATATTGATTTGTTAAAATTAAGAGACATTATCACAAGTACAATTGTGGGCCACATTGAGATCCCGAATTGAACCAACTATAAGATACTTCAGAGACAATCGGATAAAACTGAACATAAAAGAGATAGTAAATGACTTATGAAAAATTATTTCTAACTTTTTAGGTTGTTATAATATTATTGTGGTTAGAGTATTACTGTGGTTATATTATTTTTTAAAGTTATTATCCATTTTAGATACAAACTTTAGTGTTTATGGTGAAATGATATATAAAATTTGCTTTCAGATACTTTATTAAAAAATGGCAAAAGATAAATAAACTAAAAAAGGCAGAATATTGAAAAACTATTGAAATTAGTGGAATGATATATGGGGAGTTCATTATTTTCTACTTTGGTCTTTACATGAAGATTTCCATAATATTAAATTAAAATTTGAAAATTTTAATAAGAACATGTGCTCTACACTATATTGTTTTATCTGGTTTGAATTATGGCTTTACCATTTATTATCTATATAATCTTAGGCAAATTACCTAACTTCTCTGTATCATAAGCTCCTTATCTATAAAATGGGAATAATATAGTTTTTACCTGATGGAGTTATTGTGAGGACTAAAGGAGTAAACAAAGTTTTTGGAACAGCATCTGGAACAGAGTAAATAGTATGATTCTTATCATAACTGTGACCTAAAATGATACCTCTATACAGTCAAATGTTACAGAAATCTAAGCTAGAATCTCTACTATGTTTAAATCTTGAGCATTGGGACAACTGCCAACTGCTGTTCCTTCACAACTATTTTTTGTCCTCCAAGGGTTAAATGGAAATAGGCTTTAGAATCATTGGCAGAGATGTAGTTAAGCCCGCTACAGCCCCTCACCCCCATTCATGACAATTAAAACCACTGGACAACATAGCAAAAGCAATTACCTCGGAACTCCAAAAGATTAATAACATATGGATTGGGGAGGTGAGCCAAACTTAAAGAATGACCAATAACAGGAATGAGTTTCCTATGTTATTTTTCCTTTTCTCTACCAGTGTGGAACTGAGGATGGCCCCTGTACAGAACTACATGACAAGCATAACTAATGAAAACAAAGAGAGAAAGCCATCTCTCTGGACAGAGGGAGGACTTCTGTGAAACAGAGAATGTGGGAAGAGTCCCCATTTGGGGTTTTCTTTCACTTTTCCCTATTCTCTCTACTGGCCATGTCCCAAATTCAGCCTCAGTCACAGAGCTGCAATGTGGCAGCTGTGCAGGCACCTAAAATTCTGTAAGCCCATCTTTTTGCCAGAAGCACCAGGAAAAAACTCTGTAGACCAAAGAGTGTGAAAGAAACCTCCATTACCTTTTTCTTACCGCTTCATCATGTAAACAGCCCAAGTTCTACAAATATATATAGCAGCACAGGCATATAACACATGATATAACTCTGAGGGAAACTCCATCTTTCTATCTAGAGAACCAGGAAAAGAGACCACTAGGTCAAAGAGTGTGATGGAATGATCAAAGGAGAGATCTGGAAAGAGCACCCCTAATTCAGTGAAAGAAGTGACAAAAAAACCTGAGTTAACCACAAAGCTACACATGTGCAGAAGAAACCCAAAGTAGCACAGCAATGTCTTTGAAAACTGAGGTAACAATGGAATCACAGGCCAAGGAAAATAAGGTGGAACTTTCAGTCTAAACATAACATTTCTGATCCCTGGCAAATTGATAAATCTAGACATTCATAAACTCAATGAATCACAATAGGATTAACTCAAAGAGATCTACACTAAGACACATTATAATCAAATTGTCAGAAGACAAAGAGAGAACCCTGAAAGCAGCAAGAGAAAAGCAATTTATTACATACAAAAGATTTTCAATCAGATTAACATCTGATTTCTCATCAGAAACCATGTAAGCCAGCAGGCAATGGGATAACATACTTAAAGCGCTAAAAGAAAAACTCTAAAGCAGGAATTCTATATCTAGCAAAATTATCCTTCAAAGATGAAGGCAAAATTAAGATTATTTCCAGATAAATGAACATTGAGGGATTTTATCACCTACAAGAAATGCTAAAGGGAATCCTTCAGACTGAAATGAAAGAGCACTTAAAAGCACAGTGGCTTGAAAGCACACCCAAAAAAAATAAAGAACACCCATAAAACTAAGTATTTATGCCGGCAAATATAAAATTCAGTATTAATGTATTTTTGGCTTTTACTCCAATACTAAATGATTGAAAAGACAACTACATAAAATAATAATTATAAATCTATGTTAATTGTATGGACACAAAACATAATACAACATAAACAGAGAAATGTTTTTATATACCATTTAACACTAAATTGGTATCTATAGTGTAAATGCCTGACATCAAGCTTTTATTGCCAAGACATCTATTTCAAAGGACATCAATCTTGAATAAGCATATTGTTAGTTACATGACACAGCTACTAGCAAAACAAACCAGATAAGGAACTAGGTCACCACCACCCAAGAAGGTCTGACCTTCAGAAAGACCTGGGTAACCTAGACTGACTGACCACTTGAGTGGCCTCATTTCTCCTTTCCTGCTCTAATTCCTGCCCGAATTCCTGCTCTTGTGCTTTAAGTTCACCCATTAAAGTAAACCCGCAAAACCCTAGACACCCCACCCTTGAACCTTACTGAAGGCAGAGCCCCAAGTCCACATTCTCTAACTATGACCTGACTATGTGGACCCTGAGTATACCCTATTGCCCTCCAGAATCTGCAAGTAGTAAATCGTGTCCCTCAACGTTCCCCGATGGTTCCTTGATGAAGCGTATCCTGCAATCATAATTAAGAACCAAAAGAGCAGGCCCAAACATAAATAAGGCCCTGCTGGAGGAATGTCTCGAGCTTGCTAGGACAGAGGTGTGCCTGCGCAAGCACTGTAGGCATTTCTGACCAAGGACACTCCCATCAATAGGCTTCAGACCAAACAGTACAATATTACTCAAAATGAGATTGTTATAAATTATGCTGTTAATTATAAACCTCAGGGCAAATGCTAAGAACGTAACTAAACACAGTCATAAATCACTTAACAGGAATATATTCTGAGAAATGTGTCACTCGGTGATTTTGCCGTGTAAATACCATAGAGCGCACTTACACAAACCTGGATAGTATAATAACCTACTGCACACCTAGCCTACATGGTATAGCCTGCTGCTCTAAGGCTACCAACCTGTACTGCATGTTACTGTACTGAACACCCCAGGCAATTGAAACACAATGTATTTGTGGAGATCCATAATCTCCGTGTGGATTGGAAAGAGCACATTCAGGCTTAGCCATTTCAAGTCGGCTTTGGCCCTTGCTTTCTGCTAGCCACGCCCAGATCCTCATGCAATGTCAATAGTTTCACAGCAAGCCAGAAATAAAAATGGAGAGCTTATCCTTCCATGGTTGTCTTACTTCCAAGGTCTGCCTGTTAAGTTCCTAGCTGATCCCCCACTCATCCCACTGGCACCAAAACCCGAGTCTTACAAATATGTGGATTTTCCCTGTTTGTTTTCCACCAAGTTCATCACTTTGAGTTGACAAATACAGGTTTACTCATTGCCCCAAAATGACTTAGTCTCTCTGGCATCAAAGATGCTGGTTTTCCAAACTCTGGTTTTTGCCAAAAGTACTGGGGCAGAGGGCTACAGAAGGAGCTTCATTCAAGAATGTAGACTTCCACTATGCTCACCTGAAGCTCTAGCAGTTTCCCTAAGAAAAAGAATATGTTGTCTGCCTTTGGTCAATTTCCAAAGCCCAGATAATTTAGGGCAATTTTGTCCAGTTTGGTTTTTTTATAGAGAGGAGTCACCAAACTCTTCATGCATCCATAGCTGGAAGTTCCTCTCTTATGGATATTTTTATGTTCACCTTCCTCATTTTACACATGAGAAAACTGGGACTCAGGGAGACTACATCATCTGTGTACAATTAAATCACTACATGGATTTAAAGGGCTAATTTTTCCCTTAACAAACAGAAAATATGTGGACCATGGTCAGTATAACAAAGAAGCACCTTATTTAAAATATGTCTCACTTTGGA